TCTTCAGTAAGTCTGGAATTGCATAATATTCTCTTTGAATATGTAAAGATAAAACAACTTATCTTGTGCAACAGAACCACTCAAACATTTTTTTCATTAATAAATAAAAACCAAAAGAAAAGAAAGTCCAAAATCCATATCACTGCCAAAATACATATCAATACCCCAGTTGCCTATGCTTAACATTTCCTCCTATTTTCACTGAGTATTACCAAGTCCAAATAATCCTATTGCTTCCTATTAAAAAATTAAGAAGACAAATAAGGATATCACATCATACTGCAAGTGCCATAACGTGATCACTCCCCATCCCTTTATTTCTTCATAAGGACGTGCGTGACCCTTCCTGCAACCTCAGTGCATCCTGCTCGTAAACAACACGCACCTCGTCTCATGTCTCACTACCTGCTCCGGCGGCAGGGAGCTCTCGGCGAATGGAAATGCACTCATTAGCGTCGGCATTCTATAAAGAACACCCCAGTACTTCTAAGCGTGGGTGGGAGTTCAGCATCTGGCTTCCTTTAGCATCGGCAAGCGGCTTTCTCGGCAGGATTGGCCTTTCCGTCGATGGAGAACTTGTCGGTGTCCAGGGATTCGGTCATCATCATGCCCTGCTTTTCGTTGCTTAGGATCTGGGGGCGTTGGAGAGGTGAGATTTCTCGTTGCAGAATACGGGAATTAAAGACATATACATCTAATGGTGCGTTTTCGGGATACGCTATATTTCCTATACAAAATCTCAATATGGATCATTCAACAATGAGGAAATGTAAATGTATTGGGGACAACCTTATATATTTATATAATTACATTCAGTAACACAAAAATCCCTTTTCATGAGAAACTATCTATCATTAATTCATATCCTTCATCGAATATACTTCCGATCAAATTTCTAGAACGTACACACACTCCTGAAAAACATTAATAAAGCTCCAGTTAAACATACCTTGTTAACAAGAAATCGTGATGCTTCGTCGATGTTAATGTTCTCTTTGGCAGAAGTCTCGAACCATCCGCTGAAGCCTCTCTCTCGGCAGTAGTCGTCCATTCGGGCAGGGTTGTTCACGACCCCTTCCTTGGGCTGGTCACACTGTAAAGGATTTGGTGAATAAGTACAAGAGGGAATATATGAATATATGAATACAAAAATACGGGTGAATTGATAGATATTTGTGCAAATCCATGCATAAATAATCATATAGAAAAAGGAATGCGTACATGATATACAGATAGATAGATAGATATAGATAGATAAATAGATATAGATATATATAGGAGTCATGAATGTACTGAAATTTAATATAGGAGTAGTGGTAAAAAGAGTTGTAATAGTGGTATTAGTAACAATAGAATTAACGATAGAAGTAAATAGTAATAGAAATAGTACAAGCTAGTATTACTAGTGGTGATAGCGGTGGTAAGAGTAGTAGCAGTAGCTGTAGTTAAAGCAGAAGTAATAGTACAAGTAGTAAATGAATCAGTAGTAGCAACAAAAATAGAAGAAGTAATAGAAAAAAAAACTCACAAAACAAGAAAAGAAAAGAAAAATAGAACCCCACCAAAAACCCACAGAACAAGAAAAGAAAAACAGAACCCCACCAAAAACCCACAGAACAAGAAAAGAAAAATAGAAAACAAATAAAGAACACTTCCCCACCGCCCTCGTACCTTATTAGCAAGCAGAACCGCAGGAATGGGCGATCCGTCGGCGAGAGTGACCTTCGTGTCGAGGTCCGTCTTCCACTTCGTCACGGCGTCGAAGGTCTGGGCGCGAGTCACGTCGAAAACCACAAAGGCTCCTACTGCCTCCTTGTAGTACACCCGAGTCATGTTTCCGAAGCGCTCTTGGCCTGGAGGGGGCGGAAAAGGGATTCTCTTTTGGAGTTTTGAAATGATTGGGGATGGGGATGTGTTTTGGGGGTCGTTATGATTGAGGATGGGGATGTTTTGGGGGTCGTTATGTTATCGAGGATGGGATGTTTGGGGGTCGATGGGGATGGGGGTCGTTATGAATGAGGATGGGGATGTTTTGGGGGTCGTTAGGTGTCGAGGAAGATTTTGGCTGTGGTCTTCAGAGAGTAAGGGAATTTTCAAGTTTGCGGTATTGAAGCACTGTGGAATATCGTTGTTGTATTGTAGCATATTGAGGGGGCGGGGGGGTATTGCTTTCTTAAAATATCGAGGAAATTCGTATGATTATAATTACTGTTATTTGGAAAAGCACAAACATTTCAGACAAAATTGTTCATTTTCTATGGTCCCTTTCTAGATGTTTAAATATCTTCTCCTTCATTCTCTTCTATCTATCTATCTATCTATCTCTCTCTCTCATTCATTTACTCATCCATCCGCTCACTCAACCACTTCCCCCATCCCCCTAGTCTTCTTCCCTCCATTCATTCACCCTCCCCCCTCTCTCTCTCCCACCCTCCTCTTCTACCCAGACACTCGTACATACAAACACGAACACTCCCCAACCCCCTTCCGGCACCCCCCCCCTACCCTATCCTCCACCCCCACCTCCTCTCACCTGCAATATCCCAGAGCTGCAGACGGATGACTGTATTGCTATCCCAGTTGAGGACTTTGAGAGCGAAGTCGACGCCGATGGTGGCCCGGTAATGCTGGCTGAAGAACTGGTGGACATAGCGCTTGATAATCGACGTTTTCCCGGTTCCCAGTTCGCCAATCACCAGGATTTTGTACAGGTGCTCGCGCTTGTCTGTGCTTGCACCTGCCTGATGGGGTGAGGGAAGGAGAGAGTTCGGATTAGTCGCGGGATTCGGGTTTGGATGGGGGTGATCTGTCTGTCTGGTAGGTCTGGGTACTGACGAGAGAATGAGATTAGATGATTGGTTAATTGTCTGTCTGGGAGATTGGCGTACTGAAGAGAAAGAATGAGATTAGATGATTGGTTAACTGTCTGTCTGGGAGATTGGCGTACTGATTAGAGAATGAGATTAGATGATTGGTTAATTGTCTGTCTGGGAGATTGGGCGTACTGAAGAGAAAGAATGAGATTAGATGATTGGTTAAATTGGGTCTGAAGAGAAAGAATGAGATGAGATGATTGGTTAACTGTCTGTCTGGGAGATTGGCGTACTGATTAGAGAATGAGATTAGATGATTGGTTAATTGTCTCTGGAGATTGGGCGTACTGAAGAGAAAGAATGAGATGAGATGATTGGTTAACTGTCTGTCTGGAGATTGGCGTACTGATTAGAGAATGAGATTAGATGATTGGTTAATTGTCTGTCTGGGAGATTGGCGTACTGAAGAGAAAGAATGAGATGAGATGATTGGTTAATTGTCTGTCTGGGAGATTGGCGTACTGATTAGAGAATGAGATTAGATGATTGGTTAATTGTCTGTCTGGGAGATTGGCGTACTGAAGAGAAAGAATGAGATTAGATGATTGGTTAATTGTCTGTCTGGGAGATTGGCGTACTGAAGAGAAAGAATGAGATTAGATGATTGGTTAAATGTCTGTCTAGGAGATCGGGGTATTGAAGAGAGAATGAGATTAGATGATTGGTTAAATGTCTGTCTAGGAGATCGGGGTATTGAAGAGAGAATGAGATTAGATGATTGGTTAAACGTCTGCCTAGTAGATCGGGGTATTGAAGAGAGAATGAGATCAGATGATTGGTTAATTGTCTGTCTGGGAGATTGGCGTACTGAAGAGAAAGAATGAGATGAGATGATTGGTTAACGTCTGCCTAGTAGATCGGGGTATTGAAGAGAGAATGAGATCAGATGATTGGTTAATTGTCTGTCTGGGAGATTGGCGTACTGAAGAGAAAGAATGAGATGAGATGATTGGTTAAACGTCTGCCTAGTAGATCGGGGTATTGAAGAGAGAATGAGATTAGATGATTGGTTAATTGTCTGTCTGGGAGATTGGCGTACTGAAGAGAAAGAATGAGATTAGATGATTGGTTAAACGTCTGCCTAGTAGATCGGGTAGTGAGAAGACTGGATTGAATTCCTTGATTGGTTATATATCTTCCTGGACTGTGAGGGCATCGGGTTTCATCAAATAAAGGGTTAATTATGTGTCTGATTGGTTTGGGGAGTGACATGATTAGATTCCATTCGCCTGGCAAGTTGAGATAGTGAAAAAAATGGATTCCGTCAATGATATGTCCGGATAGTAAAATTAGCAGATTAATGGTGTATTTCAACTAAGGTAGGATAGAAAAAATAGACTAAATCATAGTCTTATTCTGAACTGAATTATCTATTTTGACGAACTTGACAATAATAATCAATTGAAATAATCATGGATATGGATAATGATGTATATCGACTAGGATAAAATGGAAAAAATAGACTAAATCATACTCTTGATATTTAATGAATTATCTACCAAATAAACTATCTTACGAACTTGATGAGAAGAATCAACTGAAATAATATGATAAAAGGTTATAGATCTTACTTTCTCTACACTGAAAACTTGGGTGCTTACTTACACATACGCTCAAAATAGCTTATGATATATACAACGTTGGGCGTACTATATTACTACCTGAAATATAATAGAGGATTTTTGTGTGTGTGTGTGCTATATAAATGTATAAATTTATCCCCAAACAAGCTAAACCTAGCATGTACCTTCTTCACAAAAACAATGCCAAGGCCTAATAACCCACCATCGTCTTCTCAATCCTTTTATAACAATAACAATAAAACAACTACAACGATAACAACAACAACAACACAGAGCGACAAGACAACACACCGTTCACAAAGAAGTCCCAGAAGTCCAACCCTCTCCGTGTACGTCAACAAAGCAACACCACCAACACTACCACAAACCACAACACGAGAAACACCACCACAACCACCACCGACAAAACCAACACCACCAAAAACACCAACCACAACCACCAAAAAACACAGAGCGACACCACCACAACCACCACCAACACCTCCACCACAATCACCAAAAACAAGAGCGCCACCACCACCACCACCACCAGCTCCACCACAACCACAACAACACCACCACCACAAACACCAAGAGCGACACCACAAGAGCGACACCACCACAGCACCTCCACCACAACCACAAGAGCGACACACCACCACCACCAGTACCACCACCACCTCCACCACAACCACCACCAGAAAACCCCGAAGGCGTCCCCCCTCCGGCCGTGCGTCATCGTCAGGGCAAGAGGCATCGGCTGTGACGTCACGGCACTCGAATGGAAGCCCGAGCCAAGATAATCTTCTGCGGGCGGAGAGACAGAGATCCTCTCTCCTCCTTCCTCCTCCCCCTTCTCCTCCTCCTCCTTCTTCTTCTCCTCTCTTCTTCTCCTTTCTTCTTCTTCTTCTTCTTCTTCTCTTCTTCTTCTTCTTCTCTCTTCTTCTCTTCTCTTTCTTTATCTTCCTCTTCTTCTTCTTCTTCTTCTTCTTCTTCTTCTTCTTCTTCTTCTTCTCCTCCTTTCCTCCTCCTCCTCGGAATGACCAAGGCGAGGCGATGCTGCCTTTCTTCTCCCCCTTATTTCTTGCTGTTTTCTTCTCTCCTTCAGGTGTCACTG